GCAAGGCCGAACTGTCTTGACAAAATTTTCGTTTGACTTCTTCGTTTCATTTTTTTATGTGAAAACATTGATTGTACCTGGAGTTTTAAAAAATTAAGTCAATTAGCTATTTACTGTCTTTGACCTGAAATTTTTCCGAGCCTGGCGTTTCCCGTTTCAACGTATAACGTTGAAGCTTAAGCTCTCTAATTGAATTTCTTGTTATAATACTTGTTTTTATTGATTGGAATGATTGGAATAATTAAAATATGTTGTATTGTTAATTGTAATGCTAGTTGTATATATATTATTCAAAGATTAGTCTCAAAACTATATGGACCACAGTTGCAAATAATTCTTAATAAAGGGCAGCCTTTCTAAGAAAGGTTTAAAAGACACTGCCGAAACCATGTTTACATTTCTAAACATTGGAAATGCATAAAGTTACCTTTATGTATCTTACTGTTATGGCTTGTTATGTTTAATTACCAATGTGTAAAAATTTACATCTAACGTTTTAGTAAGTAATAGTATACCTCAATAAAATGCTGGTTACAAATCAATGCGTGCAAGAAAAATCATATTAGGTTGTGGATGAAATACCACATGTACGGTAAATCATCCATGAAGTCAAGTATGCTTCATGGTCCATCTTTGTTCGTGGTAATGAACCGTTCTAACGGAAAACGCGCTTGCTAGTAATCCATTAGAACGGCTTCGATCGTTAATTTGAACGAACCAAAAAATGCGACTTGAGTTTTCCAGCAGGAACGAAGCTACGCCTCTTCCACTCATAGTCAATTGTCAACTCATTGTAAGTCATGGTTCAAATCAAGGAATAACTGTTATTATTATGACCTTCGAGAAAAGAATAGAGTAAATTAAATAACCACAGATATTCAGCACACGATCTTGTAGTCTAATCGTATTGTTTAGATGACACGTCCATCATTGGGATAAATGTACGTTTAAAACGTTCCCTACGAATAATTGGAATTCGAATGTTAAAAACTCGTTTATTCCTGATATAAGAGCTTGTAGAATAGCCAGACATACAGTACAAAGCAAAAGGTTCAGAAAAGTCAGTAAAAGTACTCGAAGAAGGGTAAAAAAAAATAGCGTATTACGTATTTTAACATCATTTTTCTGTTTGTCCCTCGTCAAGAATACGGTTATTTTCTCGACACAATCGTTAATTTCATTATTTCAAACAAACAACAACACCATTCCCACCATTTTCATCATACGCGAAGGCTCGCGTTTTTCCGCGAATTGATGAAAAAATATGAATATGAAAAAATCTGCCGCTGCAGCGAATACGGATGACGTGGCAGAAATCTAGCTTTCTCATTGGACAATTCGAATTTGAGGTATAATATGTTATACATATATCATATACATACATTTTATCATTATATAATATATTATATACATATATTACAGTTCTGGCGCCGGCTGTTAAAAATGTAGATAAAGTTATCCATTCACTGCATGGATAATAATTTTTAACCGTCATGGAAATGCTTTTAAATTCCATTAAGCTACATATATCAAAACGAGTGAGAAATTGTTTTTGACACAAGAACATAAAACCCATATTTTTGAGCGAACCATGTACTAATGTTCTGTTTATTATATGAACTGAATCAGTTCAGTGTGACAAAGTAAAAGCGAATATTATTTAATTGCAGCCTAAAGGTTAAAGTAGAATAAATTTTATTTTTCTAAAGATGTCTTTCAAATGTTTGCGTTTGTATATCCAACGTTAATTTCGTTTTATATTGAACCAAAGACCATTTGTATTTTTACAACAACAACGATGAAAATGGCGCCAAACGTGACATACGGAAAATATCCGCACTGTACCCCGGATGTAGTGGCGTATGAGTTTCTACGAGTGTTTTAGTTCTCAGTAAAATACCCACATCCATATAATAAAAATCATGTACAATTATACCATTCGCTTTCGCATACATGCATGGCTGATATAATTGTAAATATCTTTATGCTTCTAAAACGGTTACCAAATTTGAAAGAAGAGATGAAGGAAAGGGGAAGTAAAACAGATAGCACATATATGGGAACCGGGTTAATATTATGTAAGGTTATTGGCTTTCATGAGTAATGAGATCCGATTCATAAGGAAGTGAGGATATCCTTTGAAATCAGATGTGGAAACCGGTTTTTACAAGATTATATTTTTTCGCATTTTACAATATTTTACAACAAAACTTTCAAAATCACTACCTAAGGTTCCTTATTTAATTATCAGTGCATGATTTCCTTACCAAGACAAAAATTCTAAATTCGGCAGAGTCTTCCAATTCTAGTACACTAGGTATAAGAATAGCATTTAAATGTCCAAACAACGTTAATATTTTTTATTAAAGCAGCCCGAGCCGACATGTAATCAAAATAGTTATTTAAAATTTTTGATTTTAATATTTCCACTATACTTTTTGCAGCAACGTGAAAGTTTATAGAATAATTTTCGTTTCTTCTTAAAATTTGTGCGTCTGGGAAGACCATGAAGCGCAACTGTCTCCCCCAAGCCAGCTTGAATTAACTTATATAAATTATGTGGCTACGTTACCTAAGCTAAGGTAAAAGATGAAGTATTGTTGCAATGCAGTGTTCCCATGCAGTGTTTAAATTCACTTCCTTTAATTAAAGAAGTATGTGAAGTATATGTCAATATTGTTGGTTTAGTATTCAAGAAACTATGGAATTATTGAATTATACCAGGGTATAGTCCTCGAACAATCGGGCTTTCAATTAAACAAATAAACGTCAAAATTAACTTCTTTACGCTTGCCAAATTTATATAGCTGTCAAGTTTAATTCATACCGACACAAATAGTCGAAAAAATACAAGGTATATAATGTATTCACGAAAGGTAATTTAAATTTGTCATTTCTGAACCATTGAAATGGACAAAAAATGGACGGAAAGGAGAAATTTGGCAAATAAAAATATTTGCAAAGGCGTATGTTTTATAAATTTGATATCTGTAAAAACATTTGCAATTTGCATAGCTATGTATATGTTTAAGAATTACAAACATTTTAGGATTTGTGCTCAGTGTGTCCGAGGCTATTAAAATATACGCAAGCGCAACGACTCATCTCGTAATTCATTGGTGATGTTCTACGATCTACTGTTAGAATATTTTCGGAATTAAGGAACCTCTTTGTTAGGGGTCGTGGCTGATTTAAAATTCGAATTCTGGTATACTGACGCGATATGCTGAACAATACTGAAGCACCTCTAGGGGTCCGTATTTTGGTATACTCAATCTTACCATATACCATATTCAGTCAGGTACATGCGACCTAACCAAGGTTCTCACCAAAGCCGAATATACCATATTCCGGTATATTCGACCTTCACTTTTTTTATCGTGTTTTACTCGGCACCTTTCCATAGACTAGTCTTCTTTTTGCCGATTTTGTGTAATCTGCTTTTGAGATATTTTGGCTTATACTGCATTCGTATCAGTGGCATCAGTCTGGATCCGTCCCTGAATGTGCTTTGAACGCGTAACATATAAGTGACCTATATATAAATTCCTGGTGTCCGACAAACCGCATGCAGTTGGCTATACAGACTACAGTAACTTTTATTAGCGCAAGATTAAACTGATTGCGTTTAAATTCCTAAAGTTCCTAAATATTGTAAAATGCGGAAAAAAAGCCTTGCGAAGTTTACAAATTTTACATACTTTTCCCACTAAAAAGTTGACACATCACATGCATAGGTCAAAAATGGTAAAAATCTACACACGCAGCAGAGAGGAAGGAATAGAGAGATTTTCCCGTCTATTTCAACTATTTTCTCCGAAACCATTTCACGAGACATGTGCAAAAACATCCGGTTCTCAGAAAATTAAATCGTCAGTTACTTGTGAATCGGATCTGCCCCCTCTTGAAAACCACTAATTTTACACTTTCTCGCAACAATATCTCACTGTATTAGTAGTTTCATTAGCAAGATTTAGCACGAGGACGTTATATTGTAAGCTAAATATTTCGTGTTGGGGGCATATATTGTACGAAACTAAAGCTGCAACCACGGCTAGCAGGCAATTACCGAAAATACAAAGTAGAACAAATTCCCTAGGGCGCAAGATGTCTATACCTTCGGAATTTGTTGTATTTTGGATAAAATAAAGCTTGACTTTCAAGCCTAGTTTCCATATGACGCCGACCTGTAGCCGACTCAATGTCTGTAATCATCCAAGGGGAAAATGTTTTCCGACAATAATACTTTGCCGACGTCAGCGTCATATTGGAAACCAGGCTTCATATTTCATCGGCGGCCACTATTTTCCGCGGTCATTGATGCATAAAATTCTTTTGTATTTCGAAAGAAATTTATACCTCATTGATCGTAAAACATCACCAATGAAATAGTTGTCGTAAAACACCATTTATTGAGTCGCTGTATTTGAATTGATGTTAATAACCTCAGATATAATTGAGTATATTTCTCAAAAATATTTGTAATTCTTAAACATGCATAGTATATACGTTTACGGAAATGTTTTTACACATCATAAGTTTATTAAACATATACGCCTTTGCGCCTTCGCAAATATTTTTATAAATCTTATAGCATAAGGAGTATACTATAGCTACATCAGCCAATTTTCTTCTTGCTGTCTATTTTTTGTCCAGTAAATTGCTCAGCAGTGTAACTCTTATTTTGCATTTTCTCGCCTAAGCACGTCGAGAATCCAAGGTGGAAGCTCTTTAACTGATGTGTGCGCAAGTCGAGTTGATATGAAACTCAAGTGAGACCTAGCTATATTAATTGGTCAAGCAAAAAGAAGTTAATTTTTTGCGTTGATTCGTCTATTCGCAAGGCCATGGGAGGCATACTTCCATTTATGGAATGGCCATGGGAGGCATACTTCCATTTATTTAAGGAAGTGATTTTAGACAATTCATGCAAACATTCCATTCATTTTTGACCTCAACTTAAGTAACATAGCTTTATATAAGGTTTGGGAGCTCCATGATCTTATCTGCCGCACAACACAACCGAATTAGAAGAAGAGATAGAGATTATACTTGAAACGTTTCAGCTTGCTGCATATAGTATGGGTAAGTGGAAATTATTTTTTTTTATTTTGATTTGATTTCAGGTGTTATAATAAAAATAATAACGATATATTTTTGGCTATATATATTTATTATTTATATTCTTATAGCTGTCTTGATAAAATTCTCTGCCAAATTGAATTTTTTTGTATCCTTCTTCCTTGTATTGGGAACTGTGGCATCTAGCGATGAACTAACAGGTAATTAATTGATACGATAGCTATTTTTATTATTGCATGTCAGTGTTCTTATTAAACTTTAATGTCTGTTCTTAAATTGAACAGTTGTTCTAAATCATTGCACAAATACTTTAAATTATGTATTTAATTAATGGTATTTTAAGTTAAAACTATATACTTAGGACAGCTGCAATTTCATTTTAAAATACTGTATACTGAACTGGGAAGATTGTTCATTATGCTACCGTTTTATAGACCTTTAGTTGATTTTACCCTCTTGTTTTATCTTGAAATACTTAAATATCAATGATAGAAAATGTCTCTATCCGGAATTTGTTTTCTTTTATATTTCCTACTAACTGTTGTAGAAGGGAAGGAATTTCCCATGTAAAAGTACTCCTATTTTTTGCTCGCTTTCGGAGCTTGGATATATATACTTTCTTCGCGATCTACACATAACAAATCTAATAATAATTTGGTTTAGGGCCGCAAAAAGAAGTGGTTTCAATCTATAATGACGGCTTTACGACACCGGAATCCAGAAATCCATATTTTATCGAAGTTTACCGATGCGTTAAAATTGACAAAAAGTATATAGTGAAATGCCTTGCCAAATATCCCGTTCAAGCAACGATGACTAATATCGAAATAGTAGTGCCCGATCTTACAAATAAAGTGCGGGATCCTGGTAACGCAAAAAAGTTTTATAAATATATAGTTTTTAATCATACATCTTGTAAATGTGGAAATCTCAAAGAAAGGAAACTTTATTACACGTTATCTAATAATCGTGGTGAGTATCCATCGTAAAATAACTATTTAATTCATATATATGATTCATATATGACATGAACATAACAGGCCAAACATTCCGACTAAAAAATATGCAAAAAAGACCACAAGAGGAAAATGAATCTTTTCTTTTGCTTTTTCTTGGCTGATGTTTCAAGTTTTGTGTTTCTGCTTGTATTTAGATTTATTCTTAATTGTGTCGCACGTACATTGCGTTTCACTGTTTTATCTTCTGGTTTTACGACACTATATTTACCATTACAACGAATATTTACAAGATGCTTCTTCATACCAGTATGAAAGCTACAATCCTGGTCAAAACATTGACGACACTCAGTGTTAATTGCCACTACAGTCAGTAGTCACGGAATATATTTCAAAATTCTCCCCCTTTCCCCCACAAATCAATGTTGGGTGATGTGTCAGAACTCATTCAAGTATTCAGCATGGACTCAACATTGATTAGGGGGGCAAGGGGGGAAATCGAGACAGAAATGTTGATGTTTTGCATAAATAACTACAAATCATTTTGAGTTTAGTCAATGGTTTTGGCCAGGATTGTAGCCTATTAAACCGGTTTCTGTTTTGTTATAACCTATATACATATACAGTTCTTAATTTATAAATTTTCTTCTAGTGTCAGAGTCGTATTACCGGAAGAACTATAAGAAAAATCCAAAGAATCTGCAAAGTTCGTCTGATTATTGCAACAAAGCACAAAGAAGATATAAGCTCCCCCGAGATCATTATTTCACGCCACCAAAATTTAAATATGTTGGGTACGAACAGTGCTTGCCTGGCTGCGTTGTAAAGAAAAATGTTACGTTTTACCCTAATTTCCCAACAACAACAGGAGACATCTCGAAATTTCAGGTGATAAATATCACCTAAATTGATCATAGACAATACAATGAAAACAAAATTCTTTTCTCTTTTTTTGTCGTTTTTTTTGTAATCGGTCAAATGAATCCGCTTTGGCCGAATTCTAGCAATTCAGGCGAAAGACCGCGGTCAATTGACCGATTGATCAAAAATTCTGCTTCCAGTTTATTCCTGAACTCGTGCAAGTGAAATTAGAACTTCGGTAGACCTTCTACCGAAAAGGGCTCAAATAAAAATATAGCTGCATTTGTATAACGGAAAATGATCTCTTTTTAGGAAAGACGTGGAGCTGGTGATATACGCCGAATCGGTAAAAATTTTCTTCGCTGCTGTCATTGATATTACTGACAATATTAATTATATATATCGAGTTAACTCTTTGTCGTCGAAAAAAAGGGTTTTGTCTATGCTTCGAATTATTTCTGAATGAATAAATGAATATGGTCTAAAAAAGATTGATTGCAGATATATTTTATATTGTATGCACATATATTCTATACAAAGTTAGTAAAATATTTGAAATATAATGTTAAAAAAGCTTATCGTTTGTTTGATACTACAGTAGACGTCCCCACAATATCGCCATATATATATATAGATTTGACAACGGTTCGTTGTATTGCCGTCTGCATGGTCTATTATACATGCTTGATATATTACATCTCTCTTTCTTCTCCATACTTTACATACTTTATCTAAATTTTTAGCCTACTATGCGGGTGATATACACTGTAAAATTTAGTTGGTTAAAACTACCAAAATATTTTTGGTTGAAACTACCAATTATATATAAGTATAAATAAATTGGTAGAAATAACCAAATGGATTAGTTTGTTTCTACCTAAAGGACTCGGTCAATTGGACCAAATGATAATTGGTAGTTAACCAAAAAATATATATATTAAATTGACCAAAATCGTTTTAACCAATTTGATATGAGTCGTATCTGCCGATCAAAAATGTCAAATCTACTTTTGTTTTGGTTGTTTCTACCAAATTTGTCATTTTAACAGTCTCTCTCATATTATAGTCTCTGTTTTTTTAAGTCTTGGAACGGTTGTCATCGACAAACCCCATTTACCTTAAACGGTGGGGGTCGTAAGCCAAAAATAAGTAGCACTTTCATACTTGTTGTGAACGATTGCAATTGAATTGTGATACATTTATGAATGGTTGGTTCTTCATGCTCTAGATAAGCTCTTTTCAAAGCTTTGAATTTGAAAATGTTACCCAACTTCTTATACAGTAGCAGTAAAGTCGCATTAACCTTGAAATATTCTTGTCAAATATTCTTGGTCAGTCAGGCGAAACATTTTCGCTTGAAGCCTTGGCCCCGTGTATCAGGATGGAATATTGGCTATCTTCATTATATAAGAGTTGATCAAATCCAGACTCGTTCGTAACATTTTTTACAATAACGCAGCAACCTAGCCTATATTCTTTTCAAACCAGATGATTTAGTGCTATATATATTTTGATAACACATTATTATAATTATTATTTATTCCATAGTTTATTTATTCCATATTATTCCATATTTTATGGAAATTATAGATATAAATATGGATATAAAGGCAAGTGAAATGGAATTTTTTATGGAAATTCTATAGAGCTTTCAACATCTTTCTTCAATTGAAATCTTTCAGTTTCAAAATTTTCTTTCTTCAATTAAAATCAACATTTTCTTTCTTCAATTTATTTTTCTAAGTTTGTTTATGTTTGCAGATTTTGCGCCAAAATCTAAGATACATTCATTTTGCTTGTTATTTATTAACTATTTATACTTGATAAGTAACTTATAAAGTTAATTAGAAAATCGCCCTTGAGTTAGGCAGTCCGCCATCTTTTTATTTAATTAAGCAATACTAATGCCTAATGGCCGCAAACTCTGAAACGTAACTTTTAGAAACTTTCAAAATAAAATACAAATTTGTAAGTTACGCGCTGCAATCTCTGCCGCATTCCGTGTTTCTTTACCGATTTTAATACTGTAGTCCAGTGTACGCCACCAGAAATGGTGGTCGCGGTGGAAGGCTATATGGTCTATAATTCTGGTCCTGTGTAAATATATCAGTCTTAGTCCAGTGGTGAAGGCAATGGTCTCGTAACTTTTAGGTCAGTGATTCGAATGAGACGAATATATTTTCATTATATGACTTTGAAAAGGGATTTAGGTAAAAATAAATAAATGTAGCCTTTAGCACCAAGCGCTGCTGCTCTAGTAGCTGTTATTAAACATACTTAAACGCTATTGGAAAACGATAAAAAGTCAAATTTAGAATAAAGAAACCCCGCGCAGTCGCAGGGAACGAATAATAGTTCCGCAATCACCACATATAGAGCAATGTCAGATATACTAGGCCTTCGGGTTTAGGAGTGGCATCCACTGGCACTGCGTGTCTGTCGGCAGTTTGTCGGTCTGTCTATATTTTCGTCAACACGAATGGTTGGTATTAGGTTAAAGCTACGAATATAAGGTACAGTTTTGTGCGTTATAGACAAGGACATAAATCATCACCATCAAATAAACCCATTGAGATAATTAATGTACAATCCTTCGAAAAAAGGTTTAATAAAATAAAATAAAATAGTGTTGTCGTTCGACACAAGTTCTGCTCGTCTAGTGGTGAGGCAATGCTCTCCCATCTTTCAAACTGGGGGTTCAAGTCAAAGCATGTCTGTTTTTCATTATGCCTTTCGAAAAAAGCATAAACTAAATCAAATAACCATGCATAGCCGTTCAGAACATGATCTCGTAGTTTTGTGGTGAAGATAATGGTCTCCCAAGTGCTAAGTTGATAGCTCGAGTCCTACCATAACCATTTTTCGTTATGAATTTCGTGAAAAAGATAAAGTAAATTAAATAACCACAGCCGTTCAGCAGAAGGTCTTGTAGTCTAATGCCGAAAACAATGATCTCCTAAGTGTTAAATCGATGCCTCCAATACTACCATAACCGTTTTTTATTATGAACTTCGTGAAAAGGATAAAGTAAATTAAATAACCATAGCCTTTCAGCAAAAGATATTGTAGTCTAGTGGCGAAGACAATGGTCTCTCAAGTGGTAAATCGATGGTTCGAATCCTAGCGTAACCGTTTTTTATTATAAAATTCGTGAAAACGATAAGGCAAATTAGATAACCATAGCCATTCACCACAAGATCTTGTGGTCTATAGTGGTGAAGACAATAGTCTCTCAAGTGGTAAATCGATGGTTCAAATCCTACCATAACCGTTTTTCATTATGAACTTCGTGAAAAGCATAAAGTAAATTAAATAATGATAGCCTTTCAGCACAAGATTTTGTAGCCTAGTGGCGAAAACAATGGTCTCCCAACTGGTAAATCGATGATTTGGATCCTACCGTAACCGTTTTTTATTATGAACTTCGTCGAAAGCCAAAAAAAGTTTGAGATAAAGGTAGCCTTGAACGTCAAGCCCTGGTGGTCTAGCGGTGAAGACAAGGGTCTCGCAATGTAGATGACCATGGTTCGAAACGTTATCTGGGCCTTTTTTTACTATGCTAATTGCAACTCACAGACATGTGTCGTGCATGTAAGTGTACTGTATTTAATTATCTACGCATATGATGTATGCACGTGGTCATTCGTGCACTGTGTGGACTATTGCATGAAGTCAAGAAAATTTTAAATGTCCTTAATTCACTTAATTCCTTGAAGAAATCGACTGGTTTTAGGTTGCAGTAAATGCAGTGAGGGAAAAAAACATTTTACGTTGATTAAACGTACTTAAACGATATTGCAAAGCGAGAAAATGTCAAATTATGTATTTATAAACCCCGCGCAGTCGCAGTGAACGAGTAATAATCCCACAATAGCCACATTGAGCAATGTCCTATATACTAAGCCGACGACTCTTGAAGCCTTGAGCTCCAACAATTATCCTTACCTAGTCTAGGGGCGAGGACAATGGTCTCCCAAATGGTAAATCCATGTTTCGAATCATACCATGACCGTTTTTCATTATCAAATTCGTGGAAAGGATGAAGTAAATTAAATAATTGTAGCCGCTCAGCTAAAGATCTTGCAGTCTAGTGGCGAGGACAATGGTATCCCAAGCGGTAAATCGATGGTTCGAATCCTACCATAACCGTTTTTCATTATGAACTTTGTGAAAAGGATAAAGTAAATTAAATAATCATAGAACTTCAGCAGAAGATCTTGTAGTCTAGTGGTCAAGATGTTGGTCTCATGAGTCGACAGTCGAAGGTTCGAATCTCGTTTTAAACGGAAATTTTAGTTATTAAAATTACATGGTAAGGTTATGGAGAATAAGTTGGTGTAGGCTTCCAACAATCACCAGTTAGCCTAGTGGTAAAGCCGTGGACTATCAAGTAAAAGATCGAGGTATCAGGAACAGGATGGTGCGTTTCTCATAGCGGTAAAAGAAAAAAAGGTGGGTATGTTACTCGGGAGAGGTTTATACTCGGTTAATCTTTGGAAATCAAAGTTAATCTTTAGGGAAATCAGAGGATAGATAGGGTGAATGAGGGGTATGAGTACAAAAAGACTTAGTAATTGGGCGGCGGCCTCGGCTCCCGGGGCAAGGGGAGGGTATAGGTGAGAAAACAGTATATAAAATGTTTAAGTCTTTTGTACTCATTTAAACCTCTTTACCCCTATTTATCCTCCTATTTACTCCTATCTATCCCTACTTTTTCCTATCCTCACATATCCTCAACTATCCCCTAACACAATTAAATGTTTGAAGAAAGCTTGCTTTGAAAGTCAGGAAAGCCGGGGGAAAGAGAACCCCCCTCAGTCTACTCCTCGCCCAAGGCGAGGGCATATTCGCCCTCTCGCACTACTCTCCACACTCACAAATTCTCGCTTTATTTATTACCTTGTTCTTTTTCGGTTTATCCAGGGCTTGAACCATCGACTGCATACTTGGCAGATCACCGTCTTCACCACTACACCACCAGTTCTTGTGGTGAAAGCCTATAGTTTTTTATTTTACTTAAACCTTTTTTGGAAGGACCTTTGACGACACTTAATACCTTTTTGTAGGATCTCAAATGAAATAACAATTTAAACGTGCTCACTTTTACGTTCATGATTTATTTTCTCAAATCTCACAAACTGTATCTTTTTCGTAGCTTGTTACTTGATGTTAACCATTTGCGTTTTCGCTAAAATATCACATATAGGTATGCAATGCCTTGGAAGATCACCTTTCCATAAGTTGCATATGGTTATATGCAGCCCAAGTGAAGCTAATGGTTACGGTGCGATTGTTTTGTATTTTTAATGAAGTGAAGTCAAAGTGAAGTACAAGAATTAACGAAGCATTTCAAAATAGGTTTAAAAGAAAAAAGCACAAGAATTAAAAATGTATTTTAATGTTTATAACACGTATAATCATGAAGCAACATGCAAGCATGCACCTCGTACTCTCGTAGATTACATCTGAAATCG